AGCGAACGGATGGCCAAAGTAAGGTACAAATAAACAGAATCACACGAAGCCTGGTCAGTGTTGCCTGACTTTATAAAGCGTGTTTTTTTTGTACAAGTGTGTGGTTGCGTTCTAGTCACTTTGCTCAGCACTACTGCTGGTTACAACTTTTATTTGCCGTACTCGCCTTAACTGTTATCTCAGGTTAATCTCGCCCCCCTCCGACGTAAGCGTGACGTATGCGGTTCTTGCTTCTAGACGGACAACTTTTTGGTGCTCGAAACGAACCGGATTCCGGAGCTTAGAGGCTGCTCCGCTGCGGTGTGAACAGGAAAACCCGGTGCTTTTCAAGCACCAGCACCGAACCGGCCCCGAAACACCGTTGGTGTGAATGGGGTATTTGAGTCCTGACTCTCCATTACTACAGAAGTTTCCCCCACACCGGTCGAAGGTCTTCTTTGTTATTTATTGAGCTTTAAAACAAATTGATAACGACTCTATATAATAATAATATAAGAATAATAAACGGAGCCTCTCTTTTCCTCCTCCTCTCCTGACAGCCCGTCAGTATCCGTCTCATGCAGCTGGCTGATCCAGTAATGAGTGACCAGACAGTAAAAATAAACATATTCATAACTAGTTTGGCCCCCCAGAGCGTTCCGTCCACCTTGGGACCCGTTATCGTTTGAGGACTCCGTTTCTGCGGTTTTGTTACGGCCTTGTGTGAACGAACCTTCCATACGATAGAGAACTGTAGCGGATAACACCCGTTTAGTCTCCGTGTAAACAGGGCCTTAGACAGCTCTTTAGTCTTGCTCCATGGTGGAGAGGTTGGAATCTGATTGATTGATTCTGTGGATAGGTGTCTTTTATACAGGTAACAAGTTGATATTAGGACTACTTTTTTTAAAGGAAGAGGACTTATGCAACCGGTCTGTGGGAGCCAGAATTCTTATCTATATCAATAATGATCACACCAGTATGATTTTTATATTAAAACATTTAGGGCTATTCATGATGCCCAGGCCTACCCCCACCACTCCTATGTATGTATCAAATATAAGATTTATAGAATATTTGCATTAAACTTGAATGAATTTACATCTGACGATAACGAGATATTATACACACATCTTCAAATAACCAAACCTTTTCAAGGTGGCATTTTCAATTACCATTTCCTTACAATGTAGCTAGAGAAAAGTGAAATGTGTACTTGCTGAATACACATTCTTGCACCATTATAGCCAGTGGTCGTACAAGGAATTGATTGATGTGTGGCTCCAGGTTCTGATTTTCAGTCAGATGACGTCCATCTTGGATCTTTTGATGGATTACTGCTATCTGCGGGGCTACCAGTACAGCCGGCTTGATGGCAGCATGTCCTTCTCTGAAAGAGATGAAAATGTGAGTTTTGACAAGTGTAAAATGCTAAGCATTTATATGTAACCAATAAGGATGGTGTTTCTGTCATTACTAACTATCTGACCCTTTTCTCCCCAGATGACCAAGTTCTCCAAAGATCCAGATGTATTTCTGTTCCTGCTGAGCACCAGAGCGGGAGGACTTGGGATCAACCTGACCGCTGCTGACACTGTTATCATCTTCGACAGTGACTGGGTGGGTGCAGGATGATGTCAGATTTTCATTAATATGTGAGTGTTGGTGTGTGCTAATGCTTCCATCCCCTCTCAGAACCCTCAGGCTGACCTTCAGGCCCAGGACCGCTGCCACAGAATCGGACAAACCAAACCAGTGGTGGTGTACCGGCTGGTGACGGCCAACACCATCGACCAGAAGATCCTGGAGAAGGCCTCAGCCAAGAGGAAGCTGGAGCAGATGGTCATCCACAAAAGTGAGTGGCTTGACCTTCATGTGCTGCCCACACCTCAGGCACTGCAGCACTACATTACTATTGCTGATATATTACATATAACTGCAAGCAATGTACTGAGTTCTGAATTTTTTTTCAAATGTGGACTTGATGTTTCTCCTCCATAGATAAGTTCAAAGGTGCTAAGGCGGAGCTGAACCAGAGTAAGAGCTGCATTGATCTGGATGAGCTGAGGGAGCTTCTCAGAGCCAGAGGCATGGAGAAGTAAGACACCACCACTTCAATGTTAAGATAATGTGAAGGAGAACCAAGAGCTCTCCAGTGTAGAGCAGGGGTCGGCAACCCCTGGCACGCGTGCCACCGTAACCAGTGGCACACTAGGAATAAGTGGAATAAGTGTGCAAAATATTTAAATTTTATTTTCGGATCCTGAACGAGACCGCCGCCACAGCGCGTCTCCCAGTTACCTGCAGAAGGAAGCCATGCATGCAACGCAGACCCGCTCTCTTTAACTCCAGGTGACTTTCTGCCGCTTTCCTCCGTGGTGCAGGGCTGATCGTTTCACCACAGAGGAAAGCACTTCACAAATTGCAGTACCCATAAGGAGCTTTACAAATGCCGCAGTTTTTGCGTGGCTGTGTCTTTAGTTGAAAGCCCAGTGGCGATCTGCTCATCTCTCATTGAAATAATATGCTACAAAGGAGCGGACTGGCCATCTGTGTGTTCTGGAGAATCACAGAACGGACGATCGTCCTTATTATTATGCCGTTTAAACCAATTATTTAAATGTGTGTGTTAAATTCGGCATCATGTAAGTTGCGCTGACAGGTCCACACACTGCTTCCCTGCAGCGAGGCTCCCCCCGCCTTCCTGTTGACAGTTCACGAGCGTTGAGCTCCTCACCCCCCCCCCCCCCATTGATAATACACGATCGTCGGCACGCTGATAAAACATTGTTTTTTTTAATGGCACTTCATATCAAAAAGGTTGCCGACCCCTGGTGTAGAGTAACGTTTGTCTGTTCGTTTGTCTCGCTCAGGGAGGTGAAAACATCAAGGGGGGAGGTGATCAGCAACAAGGACCTGGAGATTTTACTGGATCGCAGCGACATGCTGGGTGAGGAGAAACACCACTACACAGGTCACACTCTTGTAGTTATTTCAGAGGATAATGTGGGAGTGATTATTAAAATATGATCATGCAAAAGCACTTCAGTAGGCACAATGTTCAATTATAAGTTGAATATCTCAAACATGCTGTTGGGCCAAATACACTAAGGTGATCAATATGATAGAATGCTAAAAATCTATTATCTTACTATCACAACGACACTGAAAGTTGTCAATAATCAGTGAATACAGAATGTCTAATGTATCCATTTAATAAAGTATAAATGTTTTAAATGCCTTTATGCTGCTTAGGCCCTTTGGTGTCGAGTTGAGCAGAAAATGTGACACATTAAACTCAAAATGTCCATAGTTGTGGTGCAGAACCAGAAACTATTGTCGTCCCAACAAAGATTTTTTTCATTTAGTCATTTTAAGGTGTCAGTGTTTTCATCATATCAGAAGAAACTTATATTTACCCATTTCTAAGAACCAAATTGGACAGAAAACCACTGATCAACATTCTGCGCTTGCAAAGTAAAGAAATTCTATTAAGAAAATTGTAATGACAGAAATGTGCTTTTCAAAACTTCGTGTTTGTACAGGGTCAGTCTCCCTGGGTCAGTGATCTGTTTTTAAATGGAAAACCATAATATAACTTTAATAACCTAAATATGAATAGCTGGCGTCGAGAGCTGTGTAAACATTACTACTGCCACCTTATGTTTGTGCTGATCAGTTTCAAAAGAGGACCTGATATGTAACGGAGGGTTTTCTAAGGCGCCATGTGTAAAGACTTTAATGTTGGTCATTAGGGTGATGTGAACCTTTTAAATGTGTCATGTTTGCATTGTCCCTTTTTAATTTACTGTCTTAGTACTTAGCCATTGTTTTTCTAGTGAACTGAAGTAAAGTTTTTTTCTCTGTACTTTCAGACAAAGGGAAGGGGAGCATGAAGAAAGAGAAGGGGGGAGTGTTCAGAGTGATGGATGCTGAAGACTCTTCAGAGATCCCTTTGATCTGAAAACACCTGCAAGCTATTAAAGAAAAACTAAAGTTGCACCTAGATGGCTCTTAACCGCCGTCCCTTCCTAAAACTACTGTCTGCAGACAGTATTGTTTTCCTTTTTTACTGTACCCGCCTTGATAGTCCTCAGTCATGGTCTTTTTTTGTAAACCACTACCCTTTTAATAACTATCATTTGGGATTTTGTTGGCTGTCAATGACAGTTGACTATTTGCATGTGAAAAGAAGAAAACATGGTACAGTCGGCTTTTCTTGCTGGCAGTTCATCAAGACTATCAGAAGAAACTAAGTTTCATTAAAAGCAGTACAACTGTTCACAAGGTCTGTGCATCTTTTTCACAAGACAAAGCTGTTTTAGTCCTGGATTTTCTTTTGGCCATTCATAACAGATCTTTAACAATGTTTTAATCAAAGCACTTTCCTGTAGCTTAAGAGTACAAAAATTAAAATAAAATGATTTGCTTACTTTATATTGTGTTTTTTTCCAAGCATTTGCTGAATAACATTGTTGTATCAAGTTACCACTTTCTGGGTAGAATTTTGCTTGACCATTTCAAGATCATGCCATGTTCCAAAACATTTCATAAGTTACTTTTACATATTGGCAATTGCGCTTTAGCTATGTGGTCAGGTCATTCTCTAATCAAATAAATGCTCGCAGAAGGATTTACAAAATGTAATTTGGGATTTATATAAAGATATCGTCAACAAAAATATTTTTCAAAATGCACATAAACATTAAACGCTTTATATAAATGAAGAAAAAAATCCATATAATATTGCACAAATATATTTTTGATCCACATTCATATTTATTTTAAATAAACATCCATAAATATATATTTTTTAAAGTGTTCGCAAATTTCATCCAACCCATATTGTTACACCTACAGGAGCTTTTATCCCGTTCCAATGTAGGCATCAATATGAAGTTGGTCCCCCCTTTTGCAGCTTCCACTCTTTTAATTGTTGATCCTTTGTACGGTCCCATATGCTTTGAATTTTCGTTTCAGGCCCGGTCATGATACAATAGAGCCGAAACAGGAAGTCCTTGTCTCTGTGAGAGCCTGTGACAGTGGGGCAGGGTGTGGCCGCACTCTGTGCCCTGCTCGGCGTTCATGCGTTCATACACTCCTTGATCACTCAGGACTAACTCCAGCAGTAGCTCAGCTTTTTAACTAAGACTGCTAAATGTGGATTTAAGACTTCTCTTCACAAAGGTTTGGTTTATATTGTGGTAAGGTGAACTGTCAATTAAAAAAATCTCTTTTTATTTACAAGTTTCCTTTTTAAAAAGCTTACTTTTTACAGAAGCTAAAACATTTAGGATAAATTAATACCGGAATTAAATTCTGTCACCACAGCTGGAATTAAAAGACCGGCAGCAGTTTTTGTCATTGCCCACACTATCCTATCTATGGATCGTCTGAAGTTAGTCCTGCAGTACTTTCAGTCCAATTCTGAGTCCATTTCCAATGGCATCTGTATTATCCTGGCCCTGGTCAGTGTCAAGGTGTACACCAGCTTTGACTTTAACTGCCCATGCCTTCCTCAGTACAACAAGCTGTACTCTCTAGGTGTGATGATTGTGCCCCCCATCATACTCTTTTTCCTCGGGGTCCTAGTCAACAGACATACAGGAGTCATGATCGAGGAGCGGATGAGACCCATTGGGAACAGATCCAAAAATCCTGCTGTGGTAAAGTGAGTCAAGGTTTTATTAAAACACCCTCAGAGGATTGTTTTCCTAATCAAATCCCTGTAACTAGTATCCTTTCAAGGTCATGTTGTTTGGATGTACTTCTTACTCTTACTCTTTTGAGGGCATAGTAAACTGAACAATACCATTGGTACATGTTGAAAGTTCTAGATTTTCATTAATCAATCCTGTCATTACAATACATATAATACAGAGCTAGAGTTGCAGTGATTGAGAGATCACTTATTTAAGTGTATATATAAATGACCTCTTTAACTATTAAGTAAGTCATTGATTTGGTAAATATTCTTGAAGATATATGAAACTTTTAGAACTTTTAAAATATATACTGCAAAAGTTAATGAGTATGCAATAAGGTTTACTCGTAGACCTCTAAAATGAATTAGTCTCTGTTAATCATGTTTCTTTGCTGGAGTCAAAAAGAAACGTCACAACATATAGTTCAAAGATTTCTCTGTTAATCTCAACAATTAAGATGTTTCAATATTTGAAAGTCATGTAATAATAGCATTTGTCACTTTGTTTACAAAGTTCTGTGTCCACGAAAGGGATAAGTCAGTCCTCGTTCAGGCTAAGACGAGAGAGAGGGAAACCAGGAGGCAAAATAAGCATTTGGGATTAAATTAAAATGTAATGTCTTCCTGCAGGTACCTGTTCTCAGCCATGATACAGAGGGCCCTGCTGGCCCCCATGGTGTGGATCCTGGTCACTCTGCTGGATGGAAAGATCTTCATCTGTGCCTTTAGTGTCAGTGTAGACCCTGCACTCTTCTCAGGTATCAGTAACATTCTACATAGCGAACACATATTCAATGATTACTCTCACTACAATCTAAACTGTTACTGATGGAACGTTATTGTTTGTTTGTTTATTTATTTAAAGGACAGTGCACATTAATCCACATTGCTGTAAATGAGCCAGTATTAGCCAGCAGGCTAATTTTCAACTGTTGTCCTTGGCAAGATGTTAAATGACCACAACAAGACTAGAGAAATAAAAACATAATAAGTACAGCAGACAACAGCAGTACAACAATAAATAAATAGTACAACAATAGAGAGATAAAAACTGATGAAATATCATCATACCATGATACAGTTAAAAGTGTTCACATTTTTGATTGCTTAAATGCCAGTTCTTATGATTGCGGTTAAAATGTATGATAGGAGGTGTTATTCCTTATCTGTATTGGTATTGTGTTCCAAAGTGTTGATGCCCTCTCGAGAAACAGTGTTTACCAAAGGAACTGGACCTAAGAGGGACTACACAGTCCCCTCTTAGGGCAGACCTTGTGGTTCTGCTGTTTGAATTTTTCTGCTGTATAAAAGTGCAGAGTGGTGGGGGTGCCTTGCTGTTTAAAATGAGACATGCATCAGTGTGTTTTAAAATATTTTCCCAGCTGAGCAGGTTATGTTTGTCCAGGATTTTGCAATGGTGGTATAGCTTAGGTTTTCTGTCCAAAACTTTGAGAGCTTGTTTGTGAAGTGATAGGATAGGCCTTAATGTTGTGCTATTCACCTGGGTCCAGCTGGTCATACAGTATGTTAGGTGGGGAAGGATCATGGCAGTCATATAGAGTTTTGCTACAGATGTTGTCAAACAGTTCCTTATATATCTAAAGTTTGCTAGATTGTATTTAGTTATTTGCATTACCTTTCTCACTGGTTTATTGAAGGATAAAGTAGTGTCAAGGATAATGCCTAGATATTTAAAATGTGTAACTGTTTGAATGACCTCCCCAGACACATAGACCTTGGGTTCACAGTGTGATACAGTGTTGGTCTTGCTAAAAAACATACAGACTGTCTTCTTAACGTTTAGATATAGCTGTGAGTCAGTAAGCCATTGATTTACATGAACCATTGCATCATTTAGTTTGGCCGCAGCTTGGGCCTTGGTTTTTGCATGGACATAAATGACAGTGTCATCAGCATACATTTGCACCTCACATCCAGTGCACATTGATGGCAAGTCATTTATGTAAAGGCTGAATAGAATTGGGCCCAGGATAGATCCCTGGGGTACACCCAGTTCATTCCTCAGGGGTGGTGATGTCTCGCCACTTACCCTTACACACTGAACTCTGTCTGACAGATAGGAGCTCATCCAGTCTATTGCACTGGGTGAGAAATTAAAATAAGACATTTTGTGAATGAGTACTTGATGATTGACTGTATCAAAAGTTTTCTTAACCTGTTAAGCCCGAGAGACCCCGGTACCGGGGCACTGCCGCAACATCTTGCAGGAAACAGTGTCTGAGGGCATGTTCATTTAATAAACTGTAACGGGAAGAAACTCATCTAACTGATACATTTTTTTTTTTTTTTTTCAAAAGAAAACCCACAATGCTAACACTGAGCCTCTGAATTAGCAACGAGCGAAAAATGCTAACAGATTGCTGCACCGAAAATCACTCACAAAACCTTATTATTTATCTTTTCTCCACATCCATGACATCGATTCACATCGTGAGGTGACAGAATCGAAGGGTACCCTCATTATCACTGAATTATTCGAATTTGTGACGTTATAAACAAAAACAGACATCAAAACAGGTGACGCTAGGTAGCTAAAAATGCTAACATTCTTACCTTGGCTCTGTAGTCTCTCCAAAGTGGTCTTCAATGGCATTAAAACGATAAAAATGCTGCTGAAATTCAAATCCAATGTGTCTGTGTCCCTTTGAAATGATTTCTGATAATCCATGAGCAATAAAACGGATAATCCATGCTTTTCCGTTTCTAGATGTCAGAGCTAGAGTGTAGCTTCACTCTAATGCAAAATTACATGCGCAAAGCCCCCACCTTTTTGTTTCACAATGAGTGTGTGTGGGGGACTCCCCCTTCGATTCTATTGGCTCTAACGGTCAGAAAGAGGTGTCAACCATCAAAATCGACCAATGGGTTCCAGAGATATGAAGAAAAAAAACATTTCCACCCAAATCACCTCAGAGGTGGAGTGTTTTTGGCTAAACCTCTCAAAAAAGGTCAAATGTCACTTGTTTTGCATCAATCTTGATACAGGGTACTTATGTTGTACTTTGGATTCCTAAAGCTTTTAGTCTACCTTTCAAAAAGAATTTTTGGCCGGACACTATAATTTACAGTTTTTTACTATGTAAAATCTGAATTTTCTTTAAAATAAAAAACATCTATATTGATTCTGACTTTTCTACATCCAACTCACAGGTTTATCATTACTTTGAGAAAAAAGATTATTAATTTAACCCTTTTAGAAGGGAAGATATGGTCATTTGTTCTGGGAATGTCATTTTCGAGCCTGAGACCTGAAAAACAGGCTCAGGGCTTAACAGGTTAAGATCTAAGAAGATTGCTCCAACAATGCCTCCTTTGTCCATTTTTTATTTAATATTTTATTGTTCAGTATGATATCTCATGTGGTATGTTTCCTCAGGTTTGCCCAACAACACAGGTCTGGATGTGATCAAAATCATGGCCAAAGTGCCCTGCAAGGAGGACAGTATCTTCAGGAACAGCTCTTTCCGCAAAGCAGTCTCTCGTTACGTTCGCTGCTATTCCCAGGTAAGCTGTTACAACCTCAGCGAGCACACTAACACATTCATGTACTTGTATTCTCATGAAGAGCTTCTATCAGCTTTATGCTCTGTCAGACCGGGTTTTGGGATAATTTAAACCAAAAACATTGTCAGAAGTGCTGTGATACAGGATTCAGGTTTAACTGAAGCTTGTTGGTTTACCGGGACATATCATAGGCTCCTGTCATTACCCAGAGGCCTGACATCCACACTGGGCTTCATTTGGATTTTCTAGAGCACCTTATTTAGGTTTATGATTATGTAATGGAATATAATAATAATAATAATAATATATTTATTTATTTTAAAAATGTTTTCTTAAATTACGTGTTTAAAAATTGAGCCCTCCATATGGACAAAATATTAAACATTAACTTGTCAGTGCTTTCTGGTGGACAAACTTTACATTTTTCTAACTGATGTTAAACTTATCTTTGACATTTTTTTTATGCAGATGAACATTTTATTAATTGTACATCCTTTTCTATAGAGCAAACTCTTGCCTTCCTCCAATCTGCCTTTGATGTTTTGCAATCCCATTTAACTCAACTCAAGTCAAGTGCAGACAAATCCAGATTCATGATATTCTCAAATGGCAAGAAGTTAACTTCTATTCTCCCCAAGATTTCTTCTGTTCAAAGGACTGACATCGAAATGGTCACTACATACAAATACCTAGGTTTTATTATTGTCACACACTGAAAATGTTGTTTCCAAGCTAAAAATTAAATTAACTTTATTTTACATAAACAAATCCTGTTTCTCCCTTCAGGCAAGGAAACATTTGATCTCTGCAATGTTTTTACCGGTTTTGGATTATAGATATTTGCTTTACATGAATGCCTCTGACCAGTGACTAAAGAATTTGGATACTCTACCATTGTGCATTACGTTTTGTTACTGGATGTGGATATCGTGTACACCACTGCACTTTGTATGCTGCTGCTAAATGGCCATCTTTGTCTGCACGCAGACATGTTTTATATGTAAATCTCTCCTTGGGCTGGTTCCCTCTTATATTTGCACCTATATGTGTACAAATCAAGGTCTATATGGCCTGCACTCCCAAGATATTATTCAGATGTTGGTTCCTAAAATGAAAACAGAACTAGGGAAAAAAGCATTTTAAATATGCTGCCCCTTCTGCCTGGAATAATGTTCAGAAGGAGCTGAAACTGTCATATTGTATCACTATGTTCAAGTCCATCTCAATGAGACTTTTACCTGGTTAAATAAATGATATAAACTATATAGATAAAAGTATTGGGACACTCCTCTTAATCATTGAATTCAGGTGTTTCATTCAGTCCCAATGCCACAGGCAGGGGCGTTTCCTGTGTTTTTAAAGGTGGAAACATTAGGGGCTTTAAAAACACTTTATTTTCCAAATAAATCATTAACTATGTACAATTATTAGAAGTTGTTAGTAATTAGATTAAACAGAAAAAAAGGATGGAAGGAGGAAATAAGTTAATCGATTACATTTTTGTTTAACCTCTTCAGTCCTAAGGCCCCCCAACGTTTTTTTTCGAGACTGTGTCTCAGGGCTTCTTAACATTTATGAAACTATTAGTGTGTAGCACCAGATTAACGGGAAGAATCTCAGCTAACTGAAGATATGAACCATTTTTACCAAAACAAAACACAAGTCTCATAAGAAGCGTCTAAATGACCCCTGAGCGAAAAGATTCTAACGCACTGCGCCACACAACTCAAGATAAAGATACCCTTATTACTTATCGTAGCTGCACATACAATATATCCGATTAAAGCAAACACAGACATCACAACACGTACCTTTACGGAGCTTTTACGGCAGATCGTCTCACCGTAGCTGTCAATTAGATCAAATGACATGTTCAATGGCATTAAAACGAGAAAAAACTAGGCTGTATAGGTTGATCCATGGGTTGATAATGTGACTGTAGGTTTGAAAAAATTATTTATAATCCATAATTTCCATTTTTATGTAAAATTCGGAGCAAATAAGTTAGCTGCTAATAGTAGCCACCAGAGTGTATGCAGCTTCCGGTTTTGGTAACGCGTCACTCTCACTCCTTATTTGTTAACGTTTTGGTGTGTATAGAACTTTCCCTCGATTCCATTGGCTCTAGCGGTTATAAAGAGATTTCATTCATCAAAATCGACCAAGGGGGGCCAGAGATAGGTCAAATCCACCCAAATGACCCCAGAAGTGTTTTTTTTTGGCTAAATCTCTCTAAAAAGGTCAAATTTAACTTGTTTTGCATCAATCTTGATACAGGGTACTTATTATATGTTGTACTTTGGATTCCTAAAGCTTTTAGTCTACTAACCCATCATCCAAGGGTAGTTTTCACTATAAGTAAAAAAGAATTTTTGGACGGACACTATAATTTACAGTTTTTTACTATGTTCAATCTGAATTATCTTTAAAATAAAAAACATCTATATTGATTCTGACACTTCTACATCCAACTCACATATGTAACCTTGCTTTGAGAACAAAGATTATTAATGTAATAAGGGAAGATATGGTCATTTGTTCTGGGAATGTCATTTTCGAGCCTGAGACCTGAAAAACAGGCTCAGGTCTTAAGAGGTTAATACATTTTAATCATCACAAGTAAATATATGACTGCTACCTTCATACCACCAAGGAGGAAGTCCCATCAATGGGTTCACTGAATAAACTTGTCTATGAAGGGATTATGATGTGTCTTCTCATTCTAACAAACTAACGAATGAATTAATATAGCACATTTGAAAAGGATGTTGCACAAAAAACTAATTACTCACAATTTAAAAATAACTAGCTATAATCAAACCTTGTTTTGGCTTCCTGATGTTTTGAAGCTAATCAAATAACAGGAGATTCCAATTAATGATTCACCTATATGTCAATCATTATAACAGTATGCATATTTACACACGATATATATGACAATTTCTTTCTTGCTGAGCTTAGTATGAGTAGAAAGCAAACATAAATGTCCAAACCTTTTCTCTGCAGTTGAATCACACTGAATGCCTTTTAACTTTCTTGGTTTACCTGCCTTTTGAAAATGGATTAGCACTGGATTGGAGTTACCTTTGATCTTATCTTATGAAAGTTCAGCCACTTTGGCATATATGACTAAACTATTTATAGTAATACCATAATTTTAAAATACATCAAAACTAAAAGATGGCAGGTCAAAAGCATACTTTCCCATACTGCAAGACATTAAAACCAATTGAGGGCGGTGCAGCTGCCGTACCAGGCCGTGATGCAGCCAGTCAGGTTACTCTCTATGGTGCACCTGTATACATGTTGATGTATCCTTGGGCAACATACTTAACTCCAAGTTGCTCCTAATGATAATGTTGTGTGAATGTTACCCTCCTTGATCATGGGACACCTTGCATGGCAGCCTCTGCCTCTGAAAGAATGGGTGTGAATGGGTGAATGCTGAGTTGTATATGTAAAAGCCCTTTGTGGAGTCCTAAAGACTGGACCGAGCGCTTTATAAATTGTTGTTGTTGCTTTGTGTAATTAATTTTGCTCGCCCTGTTTAGGCAGTTGGCTGGTCCATCCTCCTCTTCCTGATTGTGCTTGTAGCCATGGGACGCCTCATCAAGCCCTACTTCGATGACCACGCCACCTCTCTGCAGACACGCTACTGGAGCAACTACCTGGATGTGGAGCAAAAGCTCTTTGAGGAAACCTGTGTCCTGCACGCTCGTGACTTCGCCCGGAAGTGTGTGGTGCAGTTCTTCGAGGACATGAGGGAGGACGCCGTACTCCGTCTCCCGCAACCGCTTTTCCTCAGAAACTCCAGAGAGGAGTGGGAGGATAAAGAAGAGGAGAGGCTTCACGGAGTGTCGAAGCAGGAGCAGGTGGACCAGCTGCTGAACAAGTGGTACCACAGTAAACCTGAACTAGATGTCACCAGAATGGCACACAGACCCAGGACCTGTGTGACCTGGGAGGACAGAGAAGGGAGGACTTTATACTCGGATGTCTAGGACACATTCGGAGATGTAAAGCTGCCTGTAGCTAAAGTTCCACTTACTAATGAATGATGCCAAGCTTTCAGCTACATCTCCTGATCTTTTTTCACAAAAGGAGCATGAATTAAAAATATATATAAATTAAATGATGTTACTACTGAAATGTTAAGGTAAATAAGATGCAGAATCAAAAACAGACATGCAGGTAGTACACTCAGAAGCCAATAACACACACACACACACACACACACACACACACACACACACACACACACACACACACACACACACACAACCATTACGGCAAGGCAGTATACACATTTAGAAACAGGAATGAATAAAAATGTGCTATTGGCTCCTAGAGGACTGCAAAGGGCTGCTCTTGGAGGCTGGCGGTTTTCCGGGCTAATTTGAATGTCAGGGTGTGGTGCAGCTGGTTTTGCATTCAGGTTGTTGACTTGGAACTTACTCACACAGATGTATTGAAAACCAGTGTACAGACTCACAAATATTCAATTTTTACTTTTTATAAAGTCTGCTTTAAAGATACATTATTTTAAACTCAGTACTGTTTAGATCAGCGGTTTTCGAAGTGTGAGGCGCGCCTCCCCTGGGAGGCGCCAGAGAGCTTCAGGGGAGGCGCAGCGTGAGAAAAAAATAACGAGAAACAGTGAAATCTAGCTAGTTAACTTCAGCTAACTTTAAGCGAGCGGCAGCATGGATCGATTTTTAGTGAAGTTACCTAAAGTGAAAGAGGAGACGGCGTCTGGCAGAAAACGTCAGCTTTGTTTTGAAATAAAAGTTGTGGCTCTTCGGACATTTATGAGAGAAAATCCCTAATGTCCGAGTGCAAGTGAATGCAGCACAAGACGCGAGCCTTGTAACCCCTCCCCCGGCCCTGGCGCGAGCGAGGAAATGTGATTGGCGGCGATTTCATTTGAACGGGACGGCGCATTCGGACCCAAGTAGACAGAAGGAATGAGGTATTTGCGGTCTACAATGACAGAGAAGAGACTCTCAAGTTTGTCTGTACTCAGCATTGAATCAAAACGCACTAAAGCTTTAGATCTTAATAAGTTTGTGAGGCGTTTTGCTGAACAAGATGGTAATCGCCGCATTCAGCTGTAATAGGCATGTCAACTTGATGCTCTGCTCACAGATGACTCGATGAGCATAAAAAACTGTTAAGATGATGACCTTACGTGTGTAAATATATGTTTTTCTTTGTGGGGGTCTGCCCCCAAAAAACTGTTTTAAGTCCTGAGAAAGTAAAGATAAATAAGATGCTGTGTAAAACTACACTGCCCAGCCAAAAAAAAGTAACCACTTTGATTTAACTAGGCCAGTAGGTAAGGGCTTTCCACTGGATAATAATACCCCTGCATTATAGCAACAACAACACTAATAATAATAGCAATGTACTGTTCTCTGAGGGGAGGCTCACCTTCCCACACTTTGAAAACCCCTGGTTTAGATGATGGTTAGGTATTTGGTCATCGACAGAAGAATTCGTATTTTTGCTCTCCACTCAGACACACATTTTATATCACAGACCATATGCGTTTTCCACTGGGGAGGACACCAAAGGGCAGTCCTGCCTCTTTGCAGTTTCAACAAGAAAGTCCAAAAAATAATATAATTTTGAACTGACGACATATAATTAATGTTTTTATAATAATAATATAACATTTAAAAACGCATCCTTATTCTGCAATTCTTAAATGCATACATTTGTTTAGTACATCTTATTGAAGTCACTTTATCTTAATAACACATCTTGAGAAATAAATATTGATAAAGTATGTTTAATGTGAACTTTACAACAAAATAAGTGGTCTACTTAACTTAAAGTGGACCTATCATGCTATATTTAAATGATATATTGTAGGGCCATACCTATATAAGGTATATTTATACGTTTCTGTTTTCAAAATATCAAACAGATCATGCATTTTAGCCATGCCTCATTTCGCTCTATTTGCTGTTCTCCAGACCTGTTTTTGCAGGGGGCTGATTCTGTGAGCTGCAGCTGACCACGCCCCCCTGCAGGAGAGGGGAGCCGCTCTGATCAAGTCAGAAGAGGGGGAGAAAAATAGATCTCCGTCCTCCGTGTTTTATTATAGCCTATAGGCTATAGGCTCTATATATAGAGTCGTTATTCATTTGTTTTAAAGCTCAATAAATAACAAAGAAGACCTTTGACCGGCACTTTTCTAATTTTGTCCGGAAGATTTAAACTTTAACGGACATCTTGACCGGCGAAAGAAAACCTAACTGAAACTCTGCCGCACGGTCCCCTCGTTCCTTGGAAGAGGCGGAGAGGTGTTTGTCATCTGCTGGTGGACTAACCGGAGAGAATTACAGTGCTTGCCTCGACGGGGAGGGATTGCATTGAATTAAAGCAGCGGGAGCAAACGCTTGCCTCGGAGAGGGAGAAAAAAAGCCACAGCGGAGAATAAACAGAAGGGTAACCATGGTAACCATGCGCGGGAAGTCTTCGCTGCTTTTGTGGCAGACTACAGCGCCACTTACAGGCCTGGCATATGTACTACAGCGTCTCTAGCGCTTTCGAGCGGCAATGGCCGGCCGTGGCCCAACCCCACATTCCCCTGATAGGTGGAGAGTTGGCCCAATAGCCGTAGCGCCACTGTCCTGACGTCAGGACAGTGTTCAAATCTGGATCAGTTTTTATCAGATCCATTGCAGCCCCTTTTTTAGAGATTTGGGTATGGAGGAAAATAGAGAGGGTTGTGTTTTCTGACACTTGGTGAGTTCCCTGGAACACCGGGGACACATATTCATAAATAAAAGACGTACAAAAGTGCATTTTGCATAATAGGTCCCCTTTAAATCTTAGGTTCAAAATGTCCGGTAATAATTAGGGATGCTCGGATCGATCGGCCACCGATCATTATTGGCCCATATTCACTCTTAATAGTATGATCGGTGCTCTCTATAAAGGCTGATCAGGAAAGCCGATCAGATGACGCAAAATACATGAGACTTTTCTCTGTGCGCCAAAATGGCTTCACCGGTCTGGCAGTTTTTCAAGGTGTCCGAAAAAGACAACAAAATAGCTATATGCAACGTGTGTGAAGCAGAAAGAGAGAGAGATCAGGATCAGCTGTTGCTGACGGAGAACACGCAGCTCTACCGGATCGCCTGCAGCTCCGCCCGCTGTGACAGACCAGTGAGCAGAGCAAAACACACACTTCAAGTTAGACCTAACACACTTAGCTATTTTATCTACCTCTGGAACAACCTAAACTAGTTGTAAATATGTTTATTCTTCACTTACTGGATCAGTGAGCTGCATGAGACGGATACGGACCGGCTGTCAGGAGAGGGAGAGAGGTTCTGTTTATTTATCCTGTGTTATTATCCAAAGTTAATGTAAACCTTTGAACAATGTACTTCATCTACTATAAGTAGTTTGTTTGAATGTAATAATTATGTTGTTTGTTGTTTATGGAAGCGCATCATTTATTGAAAAATGATTGAACTTTTCGATCTGTTACGATTATAAACTGAAGCAATTAAAAAATGAGCCCCATTAACTGAGTTTTAAACATCAGCATATATTACCGGTCATAGTCCGGTAATACCTGCTAATGGAAACTCTGCTACACAATTATTATTATTATCATTATTGAAACATGACCTGTAGTTTTTTTCACTTTGTCTTACTGTTATTTTATTAACTTTTTTCGACACTGTGGTTTTTTTCACTGTTTTCGACTGTCGGTTTTTTCACCACTTTTGGCTGCGGTTTTTTTTCAGTTTTTATTCATTGTCGATTTTTCACTTTTTTATACCTACAGTAACTGTCAATGTTGTTTTTTTTCTTTTTTCAACTGTCGTTTATTTAACATAACATGTCGGACATGTTTTTTTTCTTTTTTCAGCTGTTGTTTATTTTCCCTTTTTTAGAACATTTTATTTTTCCCATTTTTTTGACTGTCAACTTTCAAATTTTTAGAAACTGCTAGCGCAGTATTTTTTTTTCTTCACTTTGTTTGATTGTAAATTGTTTCACTACATTTTTTGAAACTAAATTCAATTTTTTTCTTTTCACAGGTTTTAAAAAAAAAAATGTTACTTTCATTTTTTTGAATGTTTTCGTCAGGTCAGGGACGAAGGTACTTTGACCGTTTTTTTAAGGCATAATTTAAACAAAAAAAAACCCAGAAACGGTTAGTTTTTTTGTTTTTCAATTTTGCCCCAAAACGTTACTTACTGTTACGGAGCGTCCACACAGCAGCGTTAAAAAAATCTTCCAACGCTTCTGCCCATTCACTTTGAATGGGGGGACGTCACTTTGCCTCACTTTTCGCCGAACTGCATTGTGGGAAGCAAAGCGGAGATTTCCAGGCATCTCAGGCTTCAAAAGTTGAGCAATGTTCAACTTTTGAAGCTGAGGTGGAAGCATCAGCCAATCAAATCCCGTTTATGCAAATCTGACAGTACAAGCGCTAGCCAATCAAACCTGGGATCCTGGGAGAGACATACCGCAGGTCATTTCCTCATATTCCAAAAAATGGAAGATAAATTAATTATAGCGGTAGGGAATCACCCGGTGCTATGACCAGTCCCTATTTACCTACCGGGATACAAACCCGAGGAGCCAGGCATGGAGGGAGGTGGCAGAGACAGTGGTAGGTTTTCGCCTGATTGGGGAGTTTATATCCAGTTTACTTCGGGCTTTTTAGCTTTGTATGTCGGGGGCGGGAGATTCATGTGATTGGTTGTTGGTCGCGTTGCTCGCAAAAAATCCCCAAGCTTCAGATACGCCCACCTCCAAGATTTTTTTAACGCTGCTGTTTCGTTTCCATAGGTGGGCAGGTCTCAACTATTTGCCTTTAGACAGTGCAAACATGACGAGCTTCTGCTATCTTTGATGAGCGATAACATTATTTTTGGCCATACGTTTTTCACAAGACTGATAACGTTGGAATCAGTTGTAGTTAGACAACTATCACAAATACTATGAAATACTTTTACTGTGTACTTCTTGAGTACTCTCCTGTCAAAGTCCCCTCCTGAGTACAACAATGCCTGTCTTTCTGCTACAGGTGCATCTCAATAAATTAGAATATTGTGGAAAAGTTAA